AACGGAAAGTTGGTTAATTTTTTTATTAGGATAATTAATATTTGTATTAAGGGATATAGCTTATTTCATTGTAATTTTTTTCTCTTGAAAACATAAGATAAAATATCATTAATTATACTTTGCTTTTCAGAATTTTTTGTATTCTTTTACGTTATTTATTGCTCATTTCACTGTTTTTAAGCTATTGCAAAGTTTTGAGTGATTTTTTTAGGAAACAAAGTTCTTAACCTCCTTTATACCATTTCAGTTCTTAAGATTTTGCAAAGGGAGGTTGGTTAATTTATTTATTAGGATAATTAAGGTTCGTATTAAGGGATATAGCTTATTTCATTGTAATTTTATTTACAGGTAATAACTTTTTTTTATAAAGTTGTTCTGCAGAGTAAAATTCTACGCAGTTAACGCAGTTTAACGTTTGGTTTTCCCTTTAGCCATTTTTCCGGTACATTTAAAAGCTAGTCAAAGTAAATAAAATTTACTAATAAAGCCCACAGATTATGAAAGATTAGAGAAAGGAGGAAATGATGCGAATATATATTTTTAAAATTTTCAGATCCTATCGCTAAGAAGCCGGGAGGGGGGGGGGATACGCGAAGAAATGCGGTGTCTTGCATACATGAAAATTTACTCCAATGAAAAAAAGAAGGAAAATACCATAATGTATTCTATTTTTCTCTATCCGAAGCGCATTATTTTCGTCGATGGACTGAAATAGTATAATAGGAACTTGGTCAAGAGGACGCCATTTTCAACAATTCAGTTCCCATTTCATGAGTGATAAATGACCGGCGCCAGTAATGGAACTCGGAAACAAATTTGAGAAAGAGGGTACTATCTAAAAATTTCGGAAGAATGTACTAACCAAAGTCAACAGATTTCCTTCTTCTTTGTTGGTTATTTTCATCTCATTCAAAGCTATTAATCTCGTGTGGCAAAGTGAATTTATTTCACTTATTTATGGACGAGTTCTTTCTCGGCTTCAAAAGGAGAGGAATGGCCGAGAGGAAAACCATTCAGCTTCGGAATTCGCCATTGAAAGATGACACAATGAAGATGTGATCTGATTCAAGATTTGAGGAAAAGGATTTAAGAGTTCTCCGTTGAATGGCATTTTTTAAGATTTCCAGAACTTATTACTCAAAATATAGTCCGCCATTGTTGGAATGCATTCAAAACGGAATGCATTTTGTTTTCTAAAGAATTGCTATGCTCCTTACACGTATAGAGTTCATTTTTCGGATCGAATATCTTTGAAAAATGAAAATTTACTTTTTGTTTGCTGTTACCTTATAAAATAGACGAAAATATATATGAATAAAATAATCAGACGATATATTAATTAAAAACTCTGAAACAATAATTTTCGCACTCATTTTACCGAGTGGCAACAGTCTTCCGCGTTGGAAATAAAAAATGCTTTTTTTCGAAAAGTGTTGCCACTGCTCGTTTTCTAATCGTAGAGTTTGGTAATTAAAAGTTCGTAAGTTTTAGAAAATATGAAATATTAAAAACAGCATTGCCAAATACTATTAAACATATTATTATTATATAAGGTCATATTCTGACGTCAAAGAAAGCACGCGATTGTATGTGACGTCACTGTATGTCGAAAATTGTTCGTTAATGTCAGCATTTTAAATAAATAGCTGCTGTTGGCAACTTCTTTCTTTCGGATTAGTACATGGACCTTATAAGGTCCATGGATTAGTATAACTGACACAATATATTATTGCCACGTTAATTCTTTTAGTAATATTGAGAAAATGTTGTTCTATTACATTAAATTTAAATCATGATGTCATACGTATTTAATTTGAATTGTCAAAAGTTTTCGTTTCTTGGTTAGGAAATAAAAAAATTAATTAAGAATTAGTACATAGAACTTAAAATTTTGCTTTGGTTGCAGCCCGCTCATCTGATGTTTGTTATCTGTGTATGCTCGTTCCACAGCAAGCAAGATGTACTCGTATTATCAATTATCATCAAATTTTACGGATTCTCAAAATTTTCTAAAGGTGACACCGTCTTCTAAAGTCTGATTGTCATCAGATTTATTAGAAATTCCCAAAGCTTCCAGTTGTCATAAATTTCGCATCAATTAGGACATCGAAAGTGAGAAATTTCCTTTCAACCCTTTGAGTTCATTTTCGACGCCCGATTCGCTGGACGTATGGACGATAATTGAGGAGCTATGGCCTTCTCCGAATAGTAGCACAAGTAGTGAAGGGAGACTTTTTTTATGGTTATTTCTTTGACATTTTTCATAGCTACTAAAACATTCTACAAGGGGTAAGGTCTTCGGCCTAGACACCCTGGTGTCACAAACACTACTCTACCGGGGATGAAAATATTATTGGGACATATGGAAAATATTATTGAGAAAATGTTATTGGGAAACTTCGAAATGTATCTAGACAGTGCACTCCAGTGAACTATAGTAGAGTTCCCGATTACTCAATATTCTGTATTATTTGACGATCAACCTCACCTTATTTTTTAAATTTCTAAAATACTACTAGTTAAGCAGAACATTAGTTTTGAAATAATGCGATGGTTTATTAGTAGGTAAAGTATAATAATATCTAACATCGCTTATGTGTTGCAAAGCACGTTTTTAATTACTGTAATTACAGTACATATTTATGCGCATAAATGTCTGCAAGTTTTCGTGTTCTGTTCAAAGTTTTGTTATAGATTCTAATTTTGCGATTTTTGTCTCATTGTGACACTATTTCTTGGCAGTGTCAGGAATTAGGAGGTAGGTTTTGTTCTTTTCGTGGAAATTCAGCAAAGCGATCCCCTTTACAGGTTAGATTTTCCGGCAAATTCCTGGTCTCTGATTGGTTCAGCTTGGGCTGGAAACTTGGTCATTATTGCTTATTCAAATATGACTTAAGCTAGAATTATGTTTTTAAGCAATAATAATAAATTCTAAGTAATTAAGTTTGAAACTTAGGTTGTCTGATTACTAATTAACTTTTAAATGGCTGCCAATAGCTTTAAAATGCATATTTTTAAGTAACAGACTGTAGGACTATTCGTCTGAGATGCCTTTGAGGAAGACTTTCAAAAGGTAACTGGCTTGTAACCACATATGCAAAAGGGGAAAATTGCAAAAACCATCCATACAACCAGCTTGTTTGCCTGGCCAGTATTCAGTGGCCTTAACTACTCAACCACTGTTGGAATCTACAAAGTTTAATAGAGTTTGCTACTAAGGCAGATGGATATTGCATATATGAAATAATGAGGAGTATTAGTTCCTAACCAAGTTTTGAAGAATGTGCTTTTCAAAGTTTCATTTGAAAGACCATTTTCACTACTGCAGCCAAAGAAGTAGATTCTATAGTCAAACCTTCAAAACTAGTGCTGCAAATTTATAAAAATAACTACCAATTCTTGTTGCTTGAACACCCATGCTAATAATTTTGCATTTTGCGCTTTGGCAGCTGAGGATGATGGTTCGGTAAAAAACCATCAAAACTAGTCCTGTGAAAATTTGCAAATATGAAGTTGATTTTTGTGGTTTGACTTCGAAGTTAATACTTATTCGGTGTGTTATTTTACTTCATCTATAATGATGCTTAAATTGTTTATATTATGTAATTTTTTTAATTGTGAATTTTTGTTCTTTTTCTGGTATTATCACAAACAACTTATTAGAAATCGCCTAATCCTTGGAATACACCAAACGCGTGTATAATAATTGCCCGAATAATTTCAGGCAACCATACACGTGACAAATTTTCAGTTTCCGAGGTCGTCACTTTTGTGTGCGTTCTTTTACTTGTATTTAAAGTTCCAACAGATTAATTATGATTATTTTTTGTCTTAAACTTGGTTTGAAAATTTCTACAGAAATGTATTAGTTTGCTGCTGAATCATTGAAGGGATAGTGTTTTGAATTCTTTCTCAAAGCAATCATAAGGAAATTTCCACCATAACAACAAAAAACATTTGTAAATAGGTTTACTGATTTTCTTTTGGAATATATATTTGTTACGGGGAAAGACCGAAACCGGAGAATGTCAACATTCACCAAATACATTGGTGAACAGGGGAGTAGCTAGAGTTAGCACCAGGGGACAATGAAGAATTGCACCCCTTAGGTGCAACAATGGAAAACATTTCATTAGAAATTTTGTAGCATCAATTTGGTGCCCCTGGATGCTGCGCCCGGGGACAGATCCCCCTTGCCCCACCCTAGCCACACCAATGTCGGTGAAAGATCGAATATTGCATTACATTCGGATCCTCACTGGCATATGTCGACAATCACAGACATGCTCTGGTGTATGTCGAAAAGAGAGGAGTATATGTACACGCTGTCGTTGCAAAAGGAAGTGTTCCACAAATAGATGCAGTCGTAAAAGCAAGGGCTTCTTGTGCAATTCAAAGTGTCATAACAGTTCAAGTTGTTGCAATAAATAAGATTTGAATTACATAATTTAGTAAGTTTCTAACTTCTATTATTTTCCTTTCTCGTTTTGAATGTACTGCTGTGTGTTTAAGTTCTTATGTTCATGAGTTCTTATTTTAAGTCTCAAGTGCGTTTTTTCATGGCTGAATTGCGAAAAAGAAAATATAATATTCTTATATGTTTCAATGTTCACCATTAGTACATGGTGAATGTCGACATTTACCGGTATTGTGCATTAAATCATAAGTCAGAAATAAGAGTATTTGGAAAATATTTCGGACATACACCAAGCGACTATCTGCGTCTTGACATTCACCGGTGAAAGTCGACATTCTCCAGATTTCGGTGTTTCACCGTAACACGTTTTGTTGAAATGTAGAATATGTATGCAATATATCATTTTTTATAATAAAAGTAATTGTTCGTTTTCTTCTGTAAAATTCGCCAAAGGTGGTTGCGATAATACGCAAGTACTCTTCTTTCTCTTTTCTTCTTTGCATTTTATAGTGGCAAGTTATATTGCAAATGCTATTTATTTTCTATATAACAAATGTCTAATTTAGCATTTTGGTTATTATAGCTCTAAAACTTCAGTGATAAACAGATGTGGGTCTCCTAATTGAAAGGTTTCGCCAAAAGATGCCACCAGTGCCAGACCGAAATGGATGGTATCCAAAAAGGTAAGCTCTCTTTTTGTTTTCTTAATTGCATCTGAAATATTTGCTGTCCTATGAACAGGGGCGTAGCTAGAGGGGGGCATATGTCCCCAAGCACAGAATCCAAGAGGTGCCAAACTGATGTTAGGACATTTTAGAATTAAATGTTTTCCATCCTTGGCAAGCAGCAGGGGGCACGAAATCTTCAGTTGTCCCTGGGCGCTGAAAATCCTAGCTACGACTCTGCCTATGAAGTTTTAATATCAAGGAAATACATGATCTTGACTGATCTTATGCTCTCTTTTGATGTGAGATTTTAACAGAACAGGTCTTAATTTTTATATACTTAGTTATACAAACTAGGTTATTTAGCTACAGAGGCTATTCACACAATTCTTAGACGATTTTCATTGTATTGACAGAAATATTTTACGTAAAACTTTTGTGCTCTAAATGTTCCATTTGATAACCCTTAATCTTCACCATAATTTCCAACACAATAAAGCTTTTTACTTCCTTGTACGAAGTAAAAAGGAAGTATTGTATTCGTGAAAAGTTTCAGGCAGCATAAAATATCCATTTTGACCATTGTCGAATGCAATTTAACGATGTTTTTGCGTGACATCTGTACGTAAGGACAAAATAAAAAACATTTTTCCTCTAAAAAAATTATAAAACTGCTTTAAAATGAATTCTGAAGAGAATTTTCCGTGGCATCTGTATGTACGTACGTATCTCGCATAACTCAAAAACGAGTAGCCTCGGAACGTTGAAATTTTGTATATAAGACTGCTATAACATGTAGATGTGCACCTCGTATTTTGGTTGCAATCGGCCGCACCAAACGTATATAAAAATTGTTATATATATATATATATCCACTCTGTTACCCCGCTCAGTGATCTCAGTTTCTTTACTCTTGTATGTTTGTAAATTGTGCATTTTTTGCTTTAAGAATGATTGAATTATGCTGTTCTTATCTTTCGGTTAAGGTTTTAGGAAATCTGCAAGCAATATTTGTAGAATTATCAACAATTTAAAAGCTGTTTAAGTGCGGTTACGCCTAATCTTTAAATAAAGTGGTGGATATGTTTGTTTACATCTGAAACAGCAGAATAGTAGATTTGTTGCCAATCTAGAGAGACTAAACTTTGCAACAACAAAGATAACCCTTCATTTATTATTGTGCATTAAATCATGCTCAATATGGAATTTTTTCGAGGAAATAAGTGTTTAAGATTTACCTCGTAATTTTTAATATAGATATTTTGAGGTTTTATGTATTTTTTGTCTTGTTGCGAAGTGAGAATTGAATTAATTGAAGGAGAAATACTGAATCGTCTGTGAAAAAATGTTTCTTCTTTGTATTTTTTGCTTTATTTCTTTCATACATCGTTGCAGATTTATTATAGTATTTGAATAGAACATGTGGTAACAGTTAGATAATTCTCCAAATGATATAAATTTTGTGCATTTCGAGTTCTAATATGAACGAAATATAACGCTGTTAAGTGAACCTAGTGCCAGTGTCGCGATGGTAAGCAAATATAGTGAATTAAGGAGTGTATTTATTCTATTGCATCTTATGCACTATCGACGAAGTATATTTAATTCAATCCAATAAGTTTAAATGAAATGCTAGAAAGTGCGTATAATTTAATATTCCGTACAAGGAAGTCGTGTGGTGTACACATCGGATTTTTTTAGTATCAAAAGAGGTATTTTAACCCATTCCTCTTGAACAGTTTTCTAGAGTCTTAGGAGGATTGTAGGTCAACGTTTGGAGAAATCCCTTTTCTAAAAGTCCAAAAATCTGTGGATTATACATAGATCAGGAGATTTGGAGGGGATATGAGTGAAGAGTATGCCTTCGATACCCATTTTCTTGTTCCCTTTTTTCCAGGAAATTAACACTAGATTTTGATGTGTGGCTGTTGGTTTTGTCTTGATGCAGATCTATTGATTGATGGCGCTGTGGGTAAAGAGAAGGTATTTCATATTTGAGAATTGGGTATAAAATATATGCCTGATAATATGTGGAACTGACCTTAAGTTTCCTGCACTGTCCTTAATTTTTATTTGCCATTATATCAAAAACCAGCAACAATCATAAAAACCCTTTAAAAAAACTTTCTTTAGATTCTTTGAATTTCTATGATAATAAATGGATCTCCTTTTATTGCGGTTATTTAAATATACCCAAGATTCATTTATTGTGACAACATTTTTCCATTTTTCTTCAAATAATTGTTTCTCAGAGATTTCTGCTTTCGGCAATGAAAGAGGATGCAGATTGCGTTTTTTTATCTTTTCAAGATTCAAATCAGCATTAATCATTTTTTTTACAGTTGACACTGAGCATTTTAATGATTTTGCAACTGTCCTTTCACTCTGCGGATTTCTTTTAACTTTAAAATTCTTATATATGCGACATTCAAAATACTCCGTTTCTTCCTTGGATATATGTACACTCTTGCAAAAAAAAATCAAACAACCAAGAAAGACTTCTGCAATCGTGACATAATTTGGTATGCAAAAACATCCTGATCGAACATGCAAATGACCAAAGTTTCAAGGCAAATGAGTTGTGAACATAGCGCACATTTCTAGTAAACCAGTAATAGAGGCGGAAAATTTATCTTTTTTTTTTTTTTTTTTTTTTGTTACTGCCATTGTAATTCCGTAAAGAAGCAGCTGAAGATGCCATTATGACGATATTGAAGACCTTACGGACAACTAAACAACTTCGAATGTGGTTGCATTGTAGCGCTGTGTGGTCATACCAAGGCCACAACCTGCAGCGTACAGACATTGCTGTGCAAAGATGTTGTCAGCAATGGTTGTTACAAGGAAATTGCCGACGAAATGAAGGCCGTCGAAGGCCAAGGAGCACGAATGCGAGGCAAGATAGGATGATTGTTCGCCCGAACCACCCCAACAGTATCATTGTCAACTATTTAACGCACTACAGTCATGTCTATACCTCCCATGGTACCATCCACCATATCATGGTGCTTGTCTGAGGTGGGTTACACTCACAGAGGACGTTTGCATTTGACCCCACAACATCGGCGCAATCGTCCGAAGTGGTGTTGCAGCTGATCATCATAGCTGCCATCAGACTGGCATTGTTTAATGTTCAGCAATAAATCTCGCTTCACTCTTGAAACATATGGCCACTGTGTTCATGTCTGGAGAGGACAGGGGCCAGCGGCCAATCAGCCTTTGTTTTACAAAGGCATACAGGTATGATGGTATGAACTCCTGGTATGATGGTGTGGGGCACTATTTCTTATGACCGCAGGTCATCTTTAGTCATCCTCTTTACATCTTTAACAGCTCAACAATATGTTGATATTATCTTGCAGCCGGTTGCATTACCCTTCATGGCACATCATCCTGGGGCCATTTTCCAACAAGATAATGCCAGGCCACATACCGCTCGCATATCTCTGTACTGTCTCCATACGGTTGATAATCTTCCTTCGCCAGCAAGGTCACCAGACCTTTCCCCAATCGAGCATGTCTGGGACATGATAGGCCGCCAGATTCGGGAACCACAAAATATCGCAGATCTGGAGCGACAACTCATGAATGCCTGATAGAATGTGTCACAGGATGATATTAGGAACCTCTAGCACCCTTTGCCTCGATGAATTCAAGCATGCATTGCCGCCAGAGGAGGTTCAACCAACTACTAATTTGAACACTCAGTGGGATATTGTGAGTCGTGAACAGGTACTATGATCTTGATTTTTTAATCAGTTTATTATCTTTGTATGAGCTATATACATAGTCAATTTCATCAAAAACAAACACTTCCTTCATGGTGCTTTGATTTTTTTTGCAAATGAGTGTATTTTGAACAATCATTCTCCTTAAAGCCAAACTTTGATATTTTTTCCCTTTCTTATTGCCAATATCATCTATTGTTGTTTTAGATACCAGGGGAAAAAATCATGGCTTTCACAGAATTTCCTAAAAACTAGGTAACGAATAATCTTCTTTGGAATGAGCACAAACATAGCCTTCTGCCCATCGCTTCTTTAAAAGTGCCATTTTGCATAAAAATAAAGCTAAAAAGTAGTAGACTATAATTTATACTTTCAAAAATATAGCTGTAGTTAAAAAAATTTTTTACAAGCAGGGTGATTTTTTTTTTTTAATAGCAAAGCAAAGTTGTCTAAAACATGTGTGAACGGCCTCATTTTCATTTACCTCACAATTATAAAGCAGTCAAATTAGTACAGTCAAAAGTCGTTAATCCGGATACGTCGGGACTTCGGCGATTCCGGATTATCGATTTTTCCGGATTATAGATCATCAGTTTAAATCTCATAAGATGGCATGCAGAAATTCTAAAATTAAAAATATGAAACCGTAATTTATGAAATAAAGAACAATTATGATCTAAAGGGTATCAAAATTTACAAAAAAAAAAAAAAGCTTAATATTTATTTGTTTACTTTTTAACATTTCTTTCAATATAAGTTGTTTAAGTTGCTTCGATTTATGTGATATTACTTTCTCTTTAATTCTATAAACAGACATAATTTCTTGTTCAGTTACGAAGTTCCGCTGTTCAAGTCCCGTTAATTGCTGTGCCGAGAATACCGACTAACTTGTCAATCGAAATTTTTCGTTTTCACTAACCTCTCTGTCACATTCTTCATGTCTTTATCCATTTTTTGCAGCAATTCTACTTTTTGTTTGATGGACGTCAAAACATATTTTCGTTTTGTACGATCCTTTGGGAGGTCCAGAATCGGAAATTCTATTTGACATAATCGAAAGTTCAAGTTTACTTTTATAATACTGCTCTTTCAGTCCGCAAAAAATAATAAGCCGGATCCAATTCGAAGATTAAGGAACAACGCAATCATCAATATTAACTGACATAGATAATTAGATAATTTTAGTTTATACCGTCCGCTATACATAAAACGCGCATGCGAAAACGTATTCTGCGCTTGCGCAAATGCATGTGCACAGTCGTAAAAGGTCTTACGTGCACGTGCCTATGCGCATGTGTCAACGCAGCGCATGCGCAGAGTTTTTAGCTTTGAGGTCCAGATTATAGATCATTCCGGATTATGGGTGTCCGAATCAACGACTTTTGACTGTACTATAGCTTTTTTATCTACATATAAATCTTTCTTAGGAGTAGGTAAAAATATTGTATAATTTGTAAGATTACTGCATATACAGCAAACCCTTGCCAAACGTGGGAATTACATCATTAATACATTGTGGATACTGCAACATTGCATTCTTAATTTTCTATGGGAAAAGTATATTAGGTGTAATTCAGATGAAGAATGTAAATGTAGTTCAAACAAACCTAACTACTGTTGTAGCAAAAAGGAAACACAAAACATGTTAACTGAAAGGATTTTTACATGATAGTTACTTTTTAAAAATTATCGTGATTTTTGCTAGGGACAATAATTGACATCTCTTTAAAAGTTTCACGATAAAAGGCAGCAGTGTTTTTCAATACTTGTCATTAAGTGTCCTTTTCTTCCTTAGTTTGGGTCCAATCCCATTGTAAAATCAGACACTTCCTGTGGCACTTTAAGCAATTTGTTTAACTTATCGCAAGGAAAAGACGCTTATCCTCTTCATAACTGCTGCTTTCATTGTCAGTGGGTGTTATAAGATGATCTAATTCTTTATTCCTTGACTTCTTCCATATCTGAAAATCCTTCCTTACTGACTGGACTGTCTTTGCATTTTGCATGATTTCTTTGCTGTTATTTGAAATGGATAGGAATCCTTTAAACTTGTTGATACCTTCTAGCCAGAGAAGTTGCCAGCAAGACTTCAGTGTTGATGAATGAACAACTGCATATGAATGATATTCCAGCATTGAACAGATTAAATGGAAACAATTAAGATAATGTGTATAAGCAAAATTGCATTCCCCATGTCGTGGCTTGGCAAGGATTTACTGTATTTATAAAAGAGAAATTTAGTAAAGTTTGACTGTAAACATATAGATATGCTACTATTATATTATTAATAAAGTATTTGGGTATCAGAAAACAATTAATAGTTACAGGTTTGGAAAAATTAAAATCATTTTTCTTTTGCATGCTACACTTACACTTCTAATCCCCATGTTATATTTTATTTGACCAGTTGGAGGGAAAAGATTTAAAAAAAGAAAAAGACCCTATTATCCCGATTTTTTTAATATAGAAATGAGCTGTACTCTAATCCGAATATTTAGATTTATAACGATGGCTTTCAATTAGATTTTTATAGAAATCATCCGGTGGGTTTTTTTTTTTTTTAATTAAAAGTGTTTCATTCATATCTGTGTGTTAAATACTAATTTCTCATGTATTTATCAATTTTAACGGAAATGGGAAAATAAACCGGCGGATAGTGTATTTCAAAAGAATTCCAGAGGAAAAGTTAAAAATTTTAAGTAACCTATGAAATGTAATATAAAAGCACAATAAATCAATGATGCATATCGCATTTTCTTACACACTTTCTCCTCTAATTGTTTAACACCAGGTTCTGAAAATTTAAAAAATAGCCTCGTCCCATTCAAAAAATAAGCTCCAATAAATTAAAAAATGGATTTGTATACATTACAAGATTAACCAAACAGGTTAATCTTTGTTAGTAAAGCCTTCAGCAATTAAAAGGGAAAGGTTCTCCATAACCTTTCTCTTTTAATTGCTGAAGAACCGATTACTCACAGCAAAGCAAGCAGGAACCGACATTTCCATGTGTGATTTTGTCGAGTCAGTTGCACATTCGTTCATCTTCTAACTATTTATTATTTATGAATGATTTTAGGCCACAATGTTATGGAGCAAGTAGAAATGAAGTTAATCTATTAGATATTTTAATGTAATAATCATTATGTACTCTAATTAGAATGTTTCTTTTAAAGGAAGATACTTAGTGATATTTATCTGCAACTACTTTTGATATGTTTAATGTAACCTTTGCAAGATGCCTTTGTACAGAATTTTTCTGATTAACAGGTAATTGTACACGTGTGTGCTTCCTAATTTGATGCAGCATATATAAAAGTGAGTATTTTTTGTTATGAGGACAAAGGGATTCCATTATGTTCTTGCAGTTAAATCACCACAATGAAACGTTTCTCCTGAACAGAATATCTATGATATTTTAATAACTGAATGTTGTACAATACCAGACATCCATATGTTTTATAAAAAAGTAAAAATCGATGTCTCATAATCTGTGAATGAAATTTTGAGCACTATATTTTCAGTATTTTTATTTTCATAAGTGAATATCAATACACAAACAACTATTCCATTCACAAAATGCACAAGTGGTAAAAATGCCACAGTCATCAGTGATGGAGATAAACATTCAATAATGTTAATTTATAACAGAAGTTATTTCCCAGATAAACACTAATGAATTTGAAATGTAAACAGCAATCGACTGCTTCTGTCATGCTATTTTTTTCCAGTTAATCAGTTTAAAACTCATTACAATGGAGATTTAATTTTTTAAGGCAGTTTCAGCAAACCATTTTCAAACATAACAGAAAAGACGATTTACTTTGAAATAAGTATTAATTTCCTTATTTTAATAAATACATTTGTTCCATCAAATTTTATCAAAGCAAGATGTGATGACTAAATAGAAAAATAAGCACTCATGTTAATATATATATAATCCATAGACTTATTTGGAAACACTATAAAGCCATTAAAAACAACCAAGAAGGGGAAGATGTCAATCCTTGGAGCACCGACATGTTCAACAGTAATTCTTATGCTGCTTTTTAAGTGCCAAAGATTACAATAATACTTACATATTAATTACTGTTTCTAAAATCTAAGAAAATTTTTGAGTGGCCTTAAAACATATGCACAGAATACAAATGTGAGCTATTTCTCAATAATATAGCATGGGAATAATTATAAAATAGTTTCCCACTACATTATAGCGAAATTAGGTGTGCATTATAATAACTAAAGAAAACAAATTTGCATAAACTTTCTACAGTAAGGACTTTGCTAGTGCTTTGGACACATATTAATGTAATAATGGGGGAGGGGGTCTCATAAGTTTCATTCATATCCAAAGCCTCAACCAGAGGTTTTACAAGATCAGTCCAAAATTCGAGGCAAATTAAATCTTTAAAGGTAATGTCCAATGGTCTGACTGCAGTTGCCATCTACCGATAAAATTAACAACCATTTCTGATGTATTTTGATTAAAATTCCATATGTGTGATATTAGTAATGATTGTTGTTTACTAAGATGCTGAAATATTCCAAGTCATTATAATGTGGAAGTAAAACGTAAACATAACATAGCTAGAATTTGCAGTTGCTCCTGATTTAAGATGCGAAAGAATGGCCCGAGGACGTTTAAATTATTGGTCCACAATAAGGTCACAGTTGGGAGTTTTCGTATTTCTTCACAGCTAAAACTATCTACATGCCTCAAGAAATTATATGATGTAATTACAAATGGAGCCCCCTTTTAAATTAGCGGGTATCTGAGAATTTCTCAGAAACAATGTAGCATTTTTAATTTGTTTGATAATCTTGAACAACCTGCAATACTTTCAGGGTAGAACTACACAAATTAGGAAAGAGGAGGACATTGATTGCAATAATAATAAAAAAGCAGTCTTCTTTTAAGTATAGAAATAAAATCATTTGCTTAACTATTAAAGAATGGTTATTTTTCTTTATAACAGTTAAACATTAAAATTTCATATGAATTTAAGCTGTTTAAGTCTTTTCTTAACATGAAAATTCGAATAAAAAATTTTTCAATACAAATTATCATTTTAAACATATAAGAAATTATTGCTACCGAAGGAATATTCTGGTGCCCAAAGGATTACATACATAATTAGCCTCAATTATTTATTATGAAGACAAGAAGTTGCAAATTATGACCCATAAATGTATAATAACAATAGTATTTCACTTAAACAGCTATGATAAAAACTGCCTTCCAATAAATCTACTTTTGTTTACAAGATTTTGACAAAAAAAAAATTCTTTTATGGAAAAAACTACTTATTTCTTTCTTCAATAGTGACAAAATTCTATTTCAATTTACATTTAATGTTGCATCCGTTATACATATGCGATGTATTAAACAGATGATTTACCAAGTTACGCTGAAAATTTAAAGATAGTTGCATTTTAGACAACACATTCTCCGAGAACTAATTAAAAATACATTAGTTAAACTTGAAAAAGAAAAAGTGTCGAAAATAATTCACAATAAACAGGTGATACTTTAAACGAATGCGATTTCTAGTTTCTTATATCGGTGACCGGCGTAAGCACATTCCGCCGACTTCCACTCGAAACAAATATCGATGAATGATGCATTTTAACAACAGCAATTATCACCAGGGAAGAGTTCATTATACACATGCACAGCTTGTAGCAAGTTACTTGCACTGAAAATTATCCTCAGACTTCAAGGAAATGGGAAATACACAGAGAATATACATTTTTTTCACATTTTGGGAGACTCTCTACCTACACACATAGTATACTTTTAAAAGAAAAAAGTACGCTTGATGATGACATGCATTTGCAAAGTTCACTGGATTGTCTATGCACTGCAACCAAAAAAACGAGTGGCGCGTGTGCGATCCACATACTTTTAACACACTTACATTGAACAGAACTGTTCCAAAAGAAATCACACAAGGTGAACAGAACTTTAAGCTCTTTTCCTCGAAGAAGAATTCATTTCATTCGATCTTTCTCGAGAGTTCGACGAGTCGCGAGACAATGCGAGGTCTCCCGACGTGCAGTTCGATTTCTGAATACGAACACTAAAGCTATCAGTTTCATTTTTTTATACATGCGCATGGTAAGTATGTATATATAATATAACAAGAAAGCCATTTGTAATACTGAGTAGAGAAAATTGCACCCTGTACACAACATCACTTTCGTCTGCTCTTCGAGGGACTTGGAACTATTTTACAGTAGAATATGGGTTTGCTGGAACTTGTCTTTGAGCAACCCAAGTCACAAAGACATCCCTGGTGAAAAACAACAAATATTAAGGAAAATGAAGCAACTAAGAATAAAACAAAGTAATATATGCATAAAAGTTAAGGATATTACAGAGAAAATTATGTAGAACCTCAATTTTCAGAAACTAATCTCATAAATTAAATACTTTTTTAAGCGAATGCATGTAGAAATCAAATCATTTAAAGTTTTTATTTAAATTTTTAGAATCTTGTAGAGTATGCGACAATGTGCCATTTATCCACAACTACTTTTATAACATTAAATAATAAGGAAAAACATCCTTCAGTGGCTGCTGTGGAGTTCAGCTAATTTCATATACAATGTCTCACAAAAATGATCGGTCCCTATAATATTTTTATTTTTTCAAGGTAATAGGAGAAAAGCTTCGGAATAAAATAATAAAGAATATTTTTTCCTTTGAATACATATTTTCATAGCTCTCTTTTTACTAAATAAAACTTGAAAAAAAATTAAATAGTAAATTTAAAAAATAATGCTTTAGACTGAAATGGAGGGGGGGGGGAGATACCACAAAATTAATCTGCTATTTTCATAATTTTTAATTAAAATCGTGCGCAATAAATAAGAAATTAATTTTTATGGAATAAGTTTGGATATAAAAACTATGCTAAAATCATTTTGCCTTTATAATTCAAGTTTTCTTTTTAGAAAATATTTATTATTTTAAAGTTTTTTGGCAATGGTTCGATCACGAAAGGAAACATTGTTAGAAACTTGCATATTAGTTATTGATTTGCATCAAAAGAAAGGGAAACCTATTAGAAAAATTCACTTAATTTAAGTGAATCTACAGTTTTCGATGTTATTACGCATTTTAAGAAATAGAATTGTATTCAAAACAAAAGAAGACCATCTAAGTTATCTGATGGACTGAAACACATTGACATATAAATTGTTTATATGTCAGTATATATATAAAAAAAAATTCCTTTGACTCATTTTTACAAAATCCATGAAACAAAAGACACCCAAACGAATGCTGGTGGGGAGAAAACCCAAAGACTAATATCGGAAGCAAAACATAGTACCAAGTGCTAAACACGGTGGAGGAGGAGTTATGATATGAGGATCTATGACACATTCCAGTGTTGGTAATACAGAGTTTGTAGATAATATTACGGATCAGTATAAGTATCTTGACATCTTTAACTGAAAATTGGCATCATCAGCACAAACACTTAATATACAGAATAGTTTCAAATTTTACCAAGACGATCCAAAACTTACTGTGCACAATGCTGGACTTTGGCTGTTACAAAAGTGTCCAGAAGTAATTAAGTTGCTACTCCAATTGCCAGATCCTAATTCTATTGAACATATTTATCAAGAACTAGAATCAAAAATTCAAAAAGAGAGCATATCTTCACAGCAGCAACTAAAAGAGTAATTCCAGGGGAGTGGCATAAAATAAGTTCAAAAATAACTAAAAAAACTCGTGGAGTCAATGCGGAAAAGATTAAATGAAGTAATCATCTGTAAAGGTAATCTCACAAGATATTAAGAAGCAAAAAGAATGTAAGTTTCTGTCATTTTTGGCTGTTAACTAAAAGTAACCGATTATTTTAGAGAGAATAATTTTCTTCATTAAACAAACGATATTGATTTTGGAATTTAATTTTCATCTTTTCAAAAATGTATTTACTATAAAAATGTTGATTTATATATTAATAAAAATAAAAGCTTTTTGTTTTATTATTATTGGTTCATTAAAGAATACAAAAATTCAAATTATCTCATCATTTTTATCAGCCACTGTAAATACAACAAAAACATGTTCAGAGTATTTTAATTAGGAAAATGCAAAGGTTTGTTTATGAATGGTTTATAAGATTTCCAGAAATTATTTGATTGATGAATTTATGTTGTACTCACTCCTAAACTTAATATCTGCACAGCATCCCTCATTGGAAGACACAAAAAATCACTACAGATTATTATTATTATTATTATTATTATTATTATTAATAATATTTTTATTTATTTATTTTACTTTTGAAGAAGGACGTTTTTCTGAATGCCCAAGAAATCGATAGAGCTATTCAAAATCTATGTTAAACTACGATTCCTTTCTTGCCTAGTTTTAAATGGTTGACTAAATCAAAACCAAACTATTTGACGACTTTAATCCCTTAGATGACAAAATTTATGTGTCACTTGACAATTTTTAAATCTCTCTTGATTTTATTTGGCGAATTTATCTTTTACAGTGTATTTTCATTTAAGCACAGATACCGTATTTGACGGCATATAAGACGCACCCTTATTTAGAAGGCCACACACATGTAGATGTAGAAAAAGTTATGTGTGTCTAGACCTTTATCCGGGCTAAAAATAGCATTCAGTATTGAAAGTTAACCTGTGTCCTTCACGTATAAGACGCAGGTAACTTTTTTGAGACGAAATTTATACAAAAAAGTGCGTCTTATATGCCGTCAAATACGGTACTTCAAACTGTCAGTTTTCATGCATATTGAATTATTTCTTCAAAGAAATCAGTAATTTTACTTTGTTTTTGAGAATGCTTAAATATCTGTACAATTTTCTGCACATTTTGGAAATGCTATTTCACTGTATTCAAATCCACTTCAGTGGATAAAGTCTAATGGAATTTCAACATAAGTCATTGTGTTCTCGGAACTAATGCAATTGTCAGCATCGTCTGTACTTGTATTTTCGGTGCCACTCTCTGCCTCTTCTATTCTTGTGATACTTGAAAAAATATCTGCATCACACAAGCATCAAAAGCCCAGCTAAATCAAATCTTATTGAACTATTTCTTGATATTTTAACAATCGACAATTTTTGAAGGCATTTTACATTTTTTGACTTATTCACAATTAAAATTAAATAAATATCCGATTTCTATATTAGAGAAGAGTAAAACAAGGATGGCCAAGATCTATGATCAGGAAACAAGGATCATTTTTTTCCATGATAGAACTAACATTATTGGTTTCACTTTTGACCAAGCTTTTGTTACTCGTGTATATGACATGCAATACAGTCAAATTTAAATTTATAAAATCAATCATCATTTTGCTTTGCTTCTATTGCAAGCTAGCCAAGTTAATTCTATATTAGTTTAAATATTTATTATACTTGTGACTATTTCCCATACATAGTTATCTCAGTCCTAAATAAATAAATTCCTACATATACTTAAGACTTTATCCAAGGCCAGAGCTAGACATTTTGAACAAAAAATTCAGAACAAAAAAGTTGGTTCATTAATGAGATATTACACCTTGATCCATCGGCTGAATTAACTGGTAACACTTGGTAAAAATTTAGCCATCATTAGGCCATCTATTGTTTTTTTCACTTTTGCACATAATGTTGACTGTACGTGCATGTATACCATCCCGTATAGATATTCTGCACCCAGATAATCGACAGTAACACTGTATCTATAGACTTTATTTTAATTAAAAAAATTTAGTTTAAAAATGGGAAGGACTTCAGCAAATCAATAACAATATTCCAAAAATAACACAAACCGGCATCACATTAAGCATCATCTACTGTACATAAATATTACAAACCTTTCCACTTATACAAGTACATCTAACATTTGGCCAAGAAACACAGCAATACAAAAACTGAAGCAGCATGAACTTACTTGCAGTGGGAAACAACGCATTCACTGCTGCAATATTCCCGATCCCAGTCCGGAGAGTCTATAGCTGGATTCGGACATCCGTTCCGAAGACAAGTGGGTAGCGATGGCATCATTTCTCCGCTGTTCATATTTGAATGGCCACCTCCAGTAGAAACCTATTATTTAAAAAAAATTAATTTTTTTAAAAAAACAAAAATGCCTTAGTAAAGTTCCTGTATTTACAAGTAATATATTCCAAGATTTACAGTGGATAATAAGTCAATGTTTTCTCAAAACATTTTTATGTAATATACATAAATACAATCACGTTTTGTTGATAAAACACTAGCATTAAATAACGTAGTAATGGAGTAAACTGTGGAATTACACTGCACACTATATTGCTAAATAAAATAAAATACCACAAATCATACTGAACCCTCCAACTAGAGTCTGATTTTAAAATAGGCATCTCAAGGTCTTTTCGATTCTCCCTCATTAATGGCACTGTATGAAGTCATCGCTGAACAGTACGTATTTTCTGCACCTTATTTGAGATTGCAGTTAAAACCAGCTTTTATTTGCATGCTTTCATGAAGCAAAATATGCTAAATGGAAATGAAATGGGTGAAAAAATTCAGCAAGCTGACTTTTTTTTCGCTGCAGCTGATTGTTTCTATGGTTAACAAATCAGACTGGATCATCTTTAACTTCGTATTTTAAAGTAGTAGACTATAATAATCGACTCGAGAAAAATATACACAAATACTGAAGCACCATCAATTTATCGATTATACCAACATGGGAAATTCCATACCATCATGTAGTTTGGCATGTAAGCATATAATGACAAAGACTACTCACTTTGTATCTTTTCAATTAACAGCAGTGGCATGTATAAGCTTGGTCTATACATCTACAAGTCTAAAACTATAAGCACTGTTGCCACAAATACATGACTGAAATACATTCTTAGTCATGTAAAATTGCTTCAGAGGCCACATGCAGCCAATGATGCAGATAATAACAAGAAGATCAAATCAGTTTACAAATAAAACAGCTTTAAAATATTACAAGCGACTAAAAATTTACCTTGCTTTTCCACCCTTCATAATAACTAAATCTCACATTAGCAACAACTTTCACAATAATATATATTGTCTATTTAAGCAAAGATTTACCGATGAGATATTCTGATTGTATGTGGGACTGTTGGAGGCTGAGTTGCACATCTGTGGAGAGTTCCCAGGAATCTGGAGCACTTGAGGCCTGTTGTTCATAACATTCATCTGTTGCTGAGGTGACATCTGAGGCTGCATTTGCTGCTGCTGCTGTTGTTGCTGCTGCTGATGCATGTTCATCATTCCATTACCCTGTTGCATGACATGAGGTGGACTGTTGTTATTGGTCATATGCTGAGGTGACTGCTATAAAATAATTTTAAACGTTTACATTTCTGCAAAAAAGGCTGAGATACTAGCTGAACCATTTTCTAAATTCAAACATTTTATTACAAAAACTGAACAAACTTGTGTAAACATGTTATTTGTTTTACACAAATAACATGTTATTGCTTCCTAGTTTTTCATTTTAAAATCTGAATAATTAAAAAAAAATCTAAATTTTAAGATTTAGGAATACAACATTAAGTTTTCACTCTAAATGAATTTACTTACAATACGGTTTAAAATATTAAGTTTCATGCAGAGTTAAAAAAAAATATTAAACATTGGCATGTTTAGATAATATCATTGGAAAATAATTAATTTAGATAGCACCAGTGATAAAGCTAGGATATCCAAATGAGCTCCAAATGATCCACTGAGCTCCAAATGATCACTCTCAGCACTCAGACTCAAACAAAAGTTTTTATTTATTATTTATTATTCTAACAATTCCTTATCTGAATTCCAATGTCACTGCATATTAAACTGAAAGAGAAGCATATCAGCGTGAAATTCAAAATTGGGCAAAAATCCAACCTGAACTTTGGCATAAATTCATTTCATTGAGAATTTATGCTTTACTAAAGTCCCTTTTTTGGGGCCTAATTTTGAAAAAGATTGCACACCATCCTAATACAAAGTTCGAGATGCAGACTTGTCAGGGATTTTTAGCGATTCCGGACTTGGGATTTTTCTGGATATTAAGATCATCAGTTTATATATCAAGTACAATGACATGCCAAAATTGTAAAATTAAAAAATGATTTATAAAATAAAGTAATTATGACCTTAAGGAAATAAATAATAATAAAAGAACAGTATTGCTTGCTTTATTAAACATTTCTTTCAATATAAGATGTTTAAGTAGCTCCACGTATTTTGTGCTAATACTTTCTCTTTAATTCTATACACAGACATAATTCCTCATTCAGTTACAGAGCTCCACTGCTCCAAGTCCTGTAACTGGCACGCTGAGAATTTGCATTAAACTGTCAATTGAAATTTCTTCATTCACAACAATGTCTCTGCCACTTTCTTCACTATCAGCAGCGATATTTCCTGGATTTAAAGTCATACTACAGATTTCACCATTCATTTGGCTGACTGATAATTGGGAGACTGTCCATCACAATGAAAAACTTCTGTTATATTATTTTCATTTCTTACCACTTCTCCATCAATTCCATTAATTGAAAAATTTCACTTTTTGTTTGCAATTCTGAAAAACCTCCAAAATCGTCCAATATAAATTATTGGCAACGTATCACAAGAATGGTGACTAAAGACATGCTATTCAGCTAAATTTTGTTTTGCTTCTATTGCAAGCTAGCCAAGTTAATTCTATATTAGTTTAAATATTTATTATACTTATGACTATTTCCCATACATAGTTATCTCAGTCTTAAATAAATAAATTCCTACATATACTTAAGACTTTATCCAAGGCCAGAGCTAGACATTTTGCCTTCCAACGCAGTTGCACTCTCTGTGGGTCCAAAACTTTTTCTCCCAAGAGTCTCCGTAGATTCTAAAAATGCTGCTGCTCCTAAATTTTATGACCCAGTGCCTTTCTTAAATTATAGAGACTTTGCCATCATTCATTTTGTTGCTTAGTGCTTCTCTGAATTCTAAAAACATTGCCTTCGCTAAGTTCTGACACACAGTACGGCCACACCAACTCTGGCACTGGGCTTAGCTAAATTTAATGCAATTCTAAATTCAAGCAGCAAATTTAACCATGTACGTAAATGTATATAAATGTACCATGCTTTTTTGTATTCAATAACTAATAGTAAAAACTTTCCGAAAATCTTTAGATATCACTGCATGAGGCATTTCTCAAGCTTCAGTGTGTTGATAGTCATGCCCTGATAAAAGCAAAAAATAATAATGGTTCATCAGTTAAATCAAAAAATAATAATGGCATCGGTGCCAAAATGAAATTAAGAATCCAGGCTCTCCACATGTTTTAATATAGAAAAATATCAAATGTGCAAATGTAAAAGCCTAGCTTTTAGATCATTTCAGATACTGTTATGTCACCTATATTTAAGCCTCTACTTAAAAAGAATAATTAATGCTTGGAATACCAAAAGGAATTAAATCTACTGACTGAATTTTTTTTAAATGCTACAGGCCATTACAGAGTTATTTTTAAATCGTGCAAATGTAAACAATTCTTAGAACAACAACATCAATAATCTTTTGTTGCCATTCCAAAAACAACAAAACTGAATAAGCTTTTTGTTGCCATTCTTAAAACAACATTAATCATTATTTAAAGTTTCTACAAGTTTCTACTGAAGTTCAAGCCACAACATGATTAAACTTTTGACAAAAACCAAATCTTAGGGATATCTACATAATATTACACAACTAAATAAATTAATTTTCAACTGCTTAAAAGCATCCAATTTCACATACAGTGAATTATTTTATGTTCTCATTATCCTCATATACTGTTGGAAATGACATCACTATACCAACGAATCAAAGGCCAATTAGAGACTGATGTCAATGGACGCCAGAGAAAGAAGAGTAGTTGCAGATTAGATAGCTAAGGATGATGTTTGCACAATGTGGTTAAATAGATATTTCTTATTCATTTAACTTAGGAAGGTATTTAAAGGTTTACTACACATATGTGTAAATAAACCTTTTCCCTGAAGTTTAAAATATTTGAAGTGCTCCATTTATGATACGATAGCTGTTAATTCATTAGGTAGATGACTTATGAATCCTTTCTGAGCTAGCCATTGTTCGAATGTAACACATTACATAACATATACTGTGTCTAACAGCACGTTACTCTATACATTCGTAACCTTCTGTTCACGTATAAATTTATTTTATGAATTTCATAGCTGCAAACTGGGAGAATTCCGCGCTGCACAACAACATCTTTTTAAAGGAACTCTAAACTGACTTTGATTCGTATTAAAATGCATGGTTCAGATTATTGAACCATTTTGTAATTCAATTCTGATGTAAGCATTCATTTGGATATTCTAAATTTCATACTTTTTGGCTAATTCCATTTTAAAATTTTCTTACACTTTTATACCGAGAAAACCCCTAGTAGTGAATGAAAACTTTTGTTCATGAATGTACTTTTAAATATGATGAAAATTAAAATATTAATTAATAGGTACACAGTTTTTATGGTTAAACTTAATAATTTATCATATACTGAACAAAATTAAATTAAAATATTAACTAATTAAAAATGGCTTGAATCGTCATATAAAAATTTACACGTGTCTGCAGTAGACTAATACAACTCAGATTCCATAAATTGTAATAAGAAAAAATACAATTCAGATCAGTTGAAATAAAGTTTGATTAAATTTTGAAAATTATTATAGGTGGGAAAATGGAATTTTTAAGTATCATTAATTCAATAAATTTCATTCATTGCTCGGAATCATTTTCTTAGTAAAAGTTGAAAAATAAAAACTGGGATAGAATAGAAAAAAAAACTAGGATATTTGGTGATCTACTGAAAAACAGGACAGTTGCAGCTATGGAATTTGTATTTTGAGTTTTAAACAGAATACATATTTTTCTCAACAATAAAAGATACAAAGAGCAAAAATCAAAACAGAAGAGAAGCATATCATGAAAACTGAAGTGAAAAATAAAATTAGCAAAGCAACAACCTCGTATTTGGAAAGATTTAATCAAGAACTCAACCAAAACCTTTGTCTGGCATAGATTCAGTCAGAACTCAATCGATTTCGATTGAATTCTTGACTAAATCTTTGCCAAACACAAGATTGTTATTTTGTTCTTTTATACGGACAGCATTTTTCATTTCAGTTGATTGCTCTGTGATAACAATCACATTTAGTTGCTTAAAAACAACAATTTGCAGTTTTGTTGCTTGACTAACAATATTTACAAGCAACTTTCTATAGCAATATATTTTCTGAAAATGTTTTTGCAATAACAAAATAAATTGTCAAAAAATTAAAATTTTTACAACCACATAAACTAACTCTAGTTTGGTATACTTATACATTTATTTTTATTATTGTTATTATTATATATTTATACAATTTAAGTATAGCAACTAGTAAAACGTTTTAGGTAGAGAGACATTTTGTCACTACATTTTGTTTCTGAAATAGGCCTTCCTAATAAAAAAAGATTTGTACACCCCTTATTTAGATCATGTAGAGTTACTAAGATTAAATATGATGATAAAAAGTATGAAATAATTTTGAATAAAACTGAATTTTGTGCAATCACCAATACAATAAAATGCCATTGAGAGCATTCATTTATAGAAGGGGTTCTTAAATCATACCATATGCCAAACTTGTTGATTCTGAGGATGAACATTCATAGCATTAGTAACTGGTTGCATAGAATCAACAACAGATGTCAGAACAGGAGATTGTTGCTGAGGACATCAACATTACTGCAAATCAACAACAGATGTCAGAACAGGAGATTGTTGCTTTTGCAAAGAAGTCATCATTCGCCCAGGAGGGGAAGAATTAGGAGAATTTGAGGAGGGAGGACTCGAGTTTGTTGCATTATTTCCATACACTGAATCGGACTGATCAACGGCAGCCTGGAATGAAATGCACAAATCATAATTTGTAAGGGGAAGACAAATTAACTGGAAAATTTTTACACTAATTAGAGCTTAAACTGGGCCAGTGACCAGATCTGGTACTTCTCAGTTTTTGAGAAACATCATAATTTTAGTTGGAGCACACAAGAGCCCTAAAAAACAGAGGTTCCAGTACTTCTTTCATAAAATGAGACAACAATTTCAGCAGAAAATTCTTTTGGGTGCTACTTTGGTAGACGGTTGCACGGATTTTGGGCGATTTACGTTGGTGCGATTTTTACAAACGTCAGCCATCTTGAAAAACGGTGTTTTTACGCATAGTAAAGTATTCAAAACTTTAAAAAAAATAAATATCGTTAAAAGTAATGGATTAATTTTTTTGTTGAAAATGTCGCTTTTTAAGATGGCAGCAAGGGTAAATAAATACATTTACTATGAGTATAAAATAGTAAAGTAAGGTTACTATTACTTTCATATAGCAAAGAGAATAAAAACACCGTTATAAAAACATTGTGCCAACGTTTAATTAGATTAAAATATAACTGAAATTGAATATCGAATTAAAAACCATCATACCAACATTTAAAAGAATTAGAATATTATTAAATTCAAATACTTTAAAATACGTTATATAGAATATAATTAACATTAAAACATATGGACAATAATTATCTCAGCAATTTTTGAAAATAGTGTATTAATTTTTTCAACAAAAAATTGAAGTATACAATTATAAAATAAAGGAAAAATATGTACTTACATTTTTTTAGTCATTTAACCTATTGCTTATTGATAAGTACCACAAAAAAAAATCGGAATCATAATTTAAATAACATCTTTGAAGACATCTTTCAAGGAATTCGAAGATATGAATTAAATTTTAAAACGGTGCGGAAATGCACAAATTTTCAGTAACCAATCAGGGAGCTGATTATAGCTCGTTAATGCATAAATATTCTATAACCAATCAGAGACCTTATTACATCACGCCTAGAATTAAAATTATTAAAAAATTCATACATAATAAAATCATTTTTTTAAAAAATGCAAAATTAAATTGTATTTTAATATTTAACAGCCATAAATAATGTTTAAAACATTAGATTAAATTTATGCATATAAAAACAAATTACTTTTAAAGTAAGGTGACGTCATTGGTTACATCATCCACAATATAAAATTTCATAAATATGATAAACAATAAAATTTTTATTTCAAATTAAAATGCAAAATTAAATTGATTTTTAATATTTAGAAGCCATAAATAATATTTAAAACACGGAATTTATGCACAATAAAACACATTATCTTTTAAATAAAATGACAACAAAGTATCGGTTACCATAAATAACTTATCCATCAATGGGTTTACCATAAGTTGTATTACTCGCCAAAAGAAAAATTGCCAACAAATCGCCAAAATCCGTGCAACCGTCTACCAATGTAGCACCTTCTTTTGATCTTCAAAAACTTTATTTTACTGATAAATAATCTTAAAAATTGATTCTAATTTCAGAATATATGTCTGTCTTTTTCATTTGAACCTTTTTTCTGCTTTCATGCTTACATTTCTCCATTAAAATTTTCTCATACTATTTCTAGCATTCTTTCCATTCTTATTAATGATACTTTAACCATTTTAGTCATTTTTTTCCCCTTTGGTATACTGGAAAAAGAATGATTTTTGTTTCAATCATTCCTTGAAATACTGCATATTCAAAGCTTAAATTCAGCTGGAGCCTGGTTCTGCTATTTCTTAGTTTTGAAATGAAACTGTACTTCCAGACAAAACCCAGCATATTTTATTATTTAACTATTTATCATTAATTTAATTAATTAAATAATTTTTATTTATTTCTTTACATTTAACTGAATTTTAACTACAATTATTTTATTATCTGTCTTTTCTGACAGCTCTCCATTGGGCTCTGACATTTCTAATTTTAGAAATTAAGCGCTGACGCTAACCTTCATTCGTACACTGAATTACCTCATTAAACATAACAAAATATTTTTTGGTTGAATTAATTGGTAAGAATCTCCATAAAATTTTGCATATATTTATCAGTAAGCGTAATTAATTAAAAAAAAATATTCTTAAATTTGATGCCAGGGGTTAGTCTTGTCTAATACACTTTTGCCTTGTGTTTAGTTGATACACTTGTATTTAAGGTATTAGAATACTTAGAGATATTACTTGACATACATTGGCATTCACTAGCAACTGCACAACAATAAATGCACTTAAATCTAAAAAGGTCAAATATTCAATTGCTTTCTAACCATGCAGATACTGAATGCATTTTAAGATATTTTGTATGCACAATATTTTTAATGATCGGGCACCGATTATACTATATTATATGATCGTAAAAGTCCAATTAACGCTAATGAAGTAACTGGCGTGAATACGGAAACAGCTCTCATAAAACAAAAGGTATACAATTATTATAACCTTACAAAAGTCATCTTACCCAAAATATTTTTTCTAACCTCCTATAGTGCATGATTCAAATTATAATATTCGCTTTACAACACACACCACGTAAATAAACTCATTTACGTTTTCCATGAGCACGCTAAAATGACGATTATCAAAATAAGGATATTGTCGCCATCTAGCGGTTAAATTTGGAACTAACAAAAAAAAATGGCCGCGCGTATTTCAAGAACAACCGCAACAGATTTATATTCATTTCAGAAGTATCGAACTTAAGAATACTAATGAATGATTAAAATGAAGAACTTCAGAATATTAATACCAGAAGAATGATGCAAGAAAATACACATTCTTTATTTAGTAGAAAACAAATATTAACTACAATCGCATCGTAAAATCGTTGAAATTTAGGGAATTAATTACAATAAGCTGAAATTCAGCACCTAAATTGCTTAAAAATTGTTCCCATACTTTCAAACAACGTATTAAATAATAAAAAAAAAAAAAAAAAAAGAGAGAGAGAATGAATATTGCACATAAATTTACCTTTGACACTAGTGTAGCTCGATAAGCTGCCAGAGCCTTCAAATATTCTTTTTTGGCGGTTTCGGTTTTCTTCTTATAAGACTGAAAAAGGTAGGGGGGAAAAATTGTACGTACATGCACAAAATGAAATGTCAGATTTAAAATAACACTGAAAACACTTTCATATTTATTTTACAATATTTTGTCAACGATTAATAAATATTTTATGTTTAGGGAAAATAACACCAATGCTGAAATGCTTTTAAACAGCTAAAATGAAGCGAATTCTACTTCCGGCAAACGATTATACGTAATATATGGCGTCAAATCTTTTTACAATTACAGTCAAAATTTAACTGCTTACGAAAATATTACTATACAAAAAGATTATCTAAAGGTGCAGATAAAAATTATTGAGAAGCATGTACTCATCTATATTATTCAAATCTCTTCCAGGATCAAGAGATCACCAATGAAATATAAAAATCATCTTTATGTTTGCATTTTGGAGAACAAAAATATGTATGAAGTTGCAATCGAATTCCGATTTTAATAGTTACAATTACATCGTGAAAAATTTCTTGCAATCTAAAGAATTTTCTTCAGTAACTGAAATCAAATATGTTGGTATTGGTTTAATATTTGATTTCAGTTTCAAACTCTACTGATAATGCAGTGACTCGTTATAAAATTTAAAATATGCAGACCTCCAGCAAAGATAGTAAATTATTAAGCAGCACCTCTAACAAACCGCAGTTAGCAAGTTCAAGTTACAAGAAAACGTGGGTAAATTGTTTCTAACGTCGACAGAAAGTAACACAAATTGTAGTAATTGAACCCGAAATTATTAATATTCTTTATAATTAAATAATGAAGAACTTGTATACATGCATGTTCCTTGCATGGTAGAAAAACAACCGTTACTAGAACCGCCGAACGTTGCCATACATTCGAACACGCGCACCTCGAAGCTCGAATTTTTAATTTATTTTGATTTCAAATTTTGTACGAATTTAATGAATTTTTAGTTTAAAAATTCAGCAAATTTTAAACGAGCAGTGGCAACACTGTTCGAAATAAAACATTTTTATCTACATCCTGTCAAAACGTAGGCAACATCCTTAAATTTTAATCAACAAACTCAGCATTTCAAAGCAACGTGTTGCAACTAATATCAAAGCAAGCGATTTAGAAGCTACAAAATTTCAATAAAAACACATTAAAAGTATGAGATGTCTATTTAGAAATATTAAATATTTTTATAAAATGACTCTAGATGGACTCATTAAAATCATTAACATATTTTTTTATAAATTTTTAGGCAGCTAGTAATAACAAATATAACGGTCGCATTAAACTGTTTTTTATGACCCACACATATGCTGCGATATAAAAAATATTAATAAAACTCAAACGAATATGTTTCTCATTTCAAGCAGCAGAATACTTTGAAACGCCTTTGGGGAGGCGGGGAGGAGGAATTGATATAACGTTCTGTAATCTAAAAATATCTTTTTCGCAGGGAAGCACAGGAATAAATAATTATGATGAAATGTCTCAAACCCTTACCCTGAAATAAAATAGTATCTTGAGATTCTAAACTTAGCAATATGAAAAAAAAGTAATAAATCAAAATTAGGAAGTCAGAGGAAGCCAGTTAAATGTTAAAATTAATTGGAGCCGCTAAGATGCATTACTTGTTGCTATTCTTTACATATTTTATGTTTGGTACTTTTCCGTTTCGCCGGCGCAAATCATGCAAAGTAGACTTTATAGGCGAAAACACACAGTATACACACAGCATAAGTGTTGACGAATGTTAGTTCTAAGAATTTTTTATTTTGAAGGTATAAACATTTTAATGTCGTTTAAAATTTGTAAAAAAGCCAATAAATTTGTAAAAAGACATTAAGTTAAGAATTTACTATGCTTTCATCGTACAACATCCATATTCGCCGGTTCATATCACGTGACCCCAAGTGATCTCATCTCACGTAAACTACGATACAAAAATCTAATTCTCTCAGTAATTATCTACATTAATTTTAAGTTAAATCTTAATTTGGAATAAAAGTTTAAATACAAGAATTATTTCAATTCGTACGAACAGCTTACTCAGAAATTAAAACCGCAGTGCTTTACTTCGCTAGTGCATTGTCATTAGAATGGATGAATTTAGCCCTTGACTTTGCCTTTTCTATATTTTCGCCATCGGGTGAGCGGTGTGATTGCATCCTAATTAACTTAATTATTGTCCGCGAATGGCCTTAGGGCATAAAATTGAACTATCCGGTAAAAATTTTATGTAATTGTATGCCAGTATTGAAAGAAACAATCAATCTTAAGAAATGGCTGCGACTTCTTTTGAAAATGTAAAAGGTTACCAGCGAGGATATTTCGTTTGGCATCGGTTGTACCATACTGGCGACTTTATCGCTTGCGTCGGCAAAACGGAAAAGTACCTTTATATATATATTATATACTTTTTTAAAAATTTTATTTACTATTTATAAATAGACCTTATTACTATAACAGATAAAATATATTTAAAGAGAGGGATAAGCTATTCTTAAATTTCCTTTCATTCATCCCTGAGACCGAGCAGAACGATTATACAGTCAAAAGTCGTTAATTCGGACACCCATAATCCGGAATGATCTATAATCCGGACCTCAAAGCTAAAATCTTTTTGCGCATGCGCCGCATTGACGCATGCTCATAGGCGTTTTACGCGTGCGCGCAAGACATTTACGACTGCGCATATGCGCAGAATACGTTTTCGCGTGCGCGTTTAATGTATAACGAATGGTATAAGATAAATTATCTAATTATCTATTTCAGTTAATGTTGATGATTGCGTTGTTCCTTAATCTTCGAATTGGATCCGGCTTATTATTTTTTGTAGACTGTAAGAGCAATTTTATAAAAGTAAGCTTGAACTTTCGATTATGTCAAATAGAATTTCCGACGCTGGAGCTCCCAAAGGATCTAGAAAACGAAAGTATGTTTCGATGTCCATCAAACAAAAACGAATTGCTACAAAAAATGGATAAAGGTATATCCTTTGTTTATCTAACCGTTCCGAAATCCGTTTATCAATTTCACGCTGCTCTGCGCGGAGGGGGGGAGACGTCGCGGCGCGCAATGAATTAGAAGTTGATCTGAAAGCACTATCGTTATCTTCAGGGCAGATGTTTTCTTCAGGACAGATGTTTTTATTTTATTCGGCTTATAATTCCTTACTAAATGTAGTATTTAATCTCGATGTACTTCGTCTTTGATATGATTTAAATCAAATTCCTCGTCATTATAAATATCACGAATACAAATCAAATAGTTTTCTGGTTGCAATTTTCTAATTTCGGCTATGCGTAAGGTACGCATGCGCGCGTTGAAAGAAATGATTAATAAAGTAAGCAAATAAATATTAAGCTTCTTTTTTTGTAAATTTTAATACCCTTTAGATCATAATTGCTCATTATTTTATAAATTACGGTTTCATATTTTTAATTTTATAATTTCTGCATGCCATCTTACCAGATTTAAACTGATGATCTATAATCCGGAATCGCCGAAGTCCCGACGAGTCCGGTAAAACTGAGTCAAACTTCTATCCTTTGCTATCTTTCCACTTTAACAATAAATAAATAAAATCTGAAAGCTTTCAGATCATATATTACGCCCAAAGGGGCGTTTTTTTAACGTTTTGTGTGTTACCTTTATTTATTAAATATCACGTTCTTCGCGCTTAAACCATAAAATTCAGTTCAACGGCAATATCACAAAATTATTTAAAAAGAGCATATGTTTAAATTTCTGATACACAGTCTCGCGCGCTGGAAATAATTTTAGGTGCAACACAAACATCCGAAGAAGATGGACGATCATTAGATATTTCTACACTATTAATAAAAGTTTTTTTTAAATGACCTGTCAATCATTTTGCTTTTTCGCGCCGTTAGAAATTCTAGACGCCCTGTCCCCTTTGTATCTTTGATATTCCTAGTTGATTTCTATTTACTTATCACACAATAAACAGTTGATAAATTTAATCTTAAAATGTTTGCTATTTGACAGTAAGTGAAGCCATTATTTCTTAAATTTACAATTCTATAACGCTTTACAAACTCACACGCCACTCCACTTACGTTCACAGTAAGTGGAGCAATTGTTATTTTGAAATATGTGCTTTCCACATTTATAAAAAAAATCTGAAAGTTTTCAGATGTTTAAATTACGTCCAAAGGATCGTTTTTTTAATGTTTTGTGTGTTGCCTTTATTTACTTAAATATCATGTTCTTTGTACTTAAACCATAAAATTCAGTTCAACAGCAATATCGCAAAATAATTTTAAAATGAGCCTATCTTTAAAATTTCTGATACACAGTTCCGGCGCTGGCATTATTCCCCCTCCCGTACAGTATTGCTATTGCTCGCTTTGAAATCGTGGAGTTTATAAATAAAAAATTCGTTAAGGCGTTTCAAAATATGTAATAGATATTAAAAAATTTCTAAATTCGGGCTTCCAGATGCCCATATTCGAGTGGAGGACTATGTTACTCAAAAATTGATGTCTCTAGGTGCCGTCGTCAGCGCGGAAAACATACATACATTCATGCAGATTCTTCATTACTTAATTTCTTTAAATATAACACAGGGTTCTAATATTTGGTGGTAACAATTTGAAAAGTGAAACGCCATTTCTAGTGAACCAACGCAAAATGTCAAAACGAAATTAATAGCCCTTCTGGGCTTGAATGGTAAATTGCCCAAAGGGGCAATTTACCCAGAAATTGCCCCTTTGGGCTAACAAAAAATTGGAGAAACGCAAATTAATGCACTCATTATTACGGCATTCTTGAATTTGGATATCCTTTGCCTGGAATCCAACCCAGATCGGAACTACCAGTGTTCAGCGATTTTACAGCTCAGCCTCTAGTGGGCCCTATGTAAAGAAGGAAAATCCATGTTAATTACTTCTATGAAAAATTTATTATACATCCGAAAAGTCTTCGCAAACAATATGATTTAGCTTAGGAGCTTCTGTAGACTCCATGTTTAATGAATAATGCTCAAATTATTCACCTTATTTATTTATGAA